CCCCCCCCCCCCCCCCCCCTCCTAGAGTTTTGCCCCTTCCCCCTCACACTCCTCTACTCCTTGGTGGTGAGTAGAAGTTAGGTTTCTTTTTTCCTGGTCAAGCTAAAAAGGCAAAGAGAAACTCAACCATTTCTTTCGATCCGTTTTCAGAGGTATAGGACTAATTTGCCATAAATTGTCTACACGATAATGATACTGCAAAATTTCGGGAAGTTTGATTTTGCCCCAGGGATCTTAAAGCCAGTAATTTTCCAATGGAACCTGTCGTGTGACCATGTTTGCATTGCAAGTTGAAAATGCAAGTATTATCAACATTCTACATTTACAACAACATCATGATATTGTATCCAGCAGGAACGAGTTTCAGGGCGTTCGAGCCTAGTGTTTCTGGGCTTCCTTACTACACATGAGACTCATTTTGCAATGCCACGCCACTTTGAGAAAAGAGATGTACAGCTGTTTCGACAAAGCTTGTGCACAAAAACGTAAAAGCGTACGCGACAGGACCACTGTATCCGGGGTCCAGCTCGCTTGGCTTATTTTCTGTTTTCAAGCAAGACGAGGATTAACCCAGGAAAATGGAATAAAAGTTTGGACAACTGAAAGGAATGGCTCTGAACACTTTCTATTCGGCCACAAAAGTGAAAATCTACGGAAAAGAAGTAGGGCAACGAACCGATTTGTCAAAATGGAACGGCCAATTGCGGTCCGACCGGTCAGACCGAACCGAAACGGACCTTTCCACTTGACGTTCTACCGAAATTTCCGGAATTTTTGGCACAATGGCAAGAACCCTAAGACTCCTCAACCAATCAGTGCGATAGTTCTGCCATAATTTGTGTCCTGATGAAACTCATGTGAATCAGGGTATTGAAGTCTGCGTGGTTCAAGAACAGCTTGTCAGCTGTTTCCTCTTAAGGCTGGGTTTCATAAGCGTATAAGCATAACTTCTATCAACATGAACAGACGCAATAAGTTGATAACTCGAGCCATTTTTGTTAGGAGAATTTCTCAAGTACCAAAAAGGGTCTTGAAATTCAACTAAAAGCTAAGTGAAGCTCACTTTAACCAGTTTTATTATTATTATTATTATTATTATTATTAATAATATTATTATTATTATTTTTATTTTTATTTTTTTCATGTTATCTTATTTTATTTTAGGCTCTTTTTCTACTTTTCTACTGATTCTGTGTAAAGTAGAAGGCGGAAATAAACGCATGAAAATACAATTTGCTTGGACATACCAAGGCTTATTGAAAGATGTGGCTCTGATTCACTCTTTGAAATGAAGTTAGACACTTACTTTAATAGCTGATCTAGTTTAGCCACGTACAAAGCTATCTTTAAATTGATTGCTACTTGAAAATAGCAGTTAACTAAGATAGAAAAATACCAAAGAGATGATAACAAACCATAAAGGAACAAGAAATGAGAAGATTAACTCGGATTACAAACGATGAACCTGAACATTTTAGGCTAAACTTTTCAAGACGAGCAAACCATGATTTAGCTCGTTTAAATATGCGTGGCTTGATTTACTCTAACTTTTGCTATAGTCTTCCTCCCTAGGTATATCAGTCGTTTCAGTCAAAGAGCTTTCTGTTCGCGCTAGAGTATCTAAAACAAACGAAAATCCATCGTTACGAGTGCCTTTTTCCTTCCAAACATCTCCAGGCTCGCTGGGATTTTGATGGTCCGTCCACGCTCTCTTTTCGTTGTCCGCACCAATGGCTTCGCTTTGCTTCACTTGTTTCAGCTTGCATTCAGTGTCCTCTCTCTTGCGGATGCGCATGCAGTAATCGCCCTTTAGACTCCGGGAAATGCGAAAAGCCTTCTTTGCAGCCTTCCTGAATTCTTTGCTCATAAACGAACACACTAAGGGATTAAACAGCGCATGCGAAAAGGCTAGTATCTCCACAGTAACAACGAGAGTCCCGAATGGGTCGAACTGGTCCATTACAGGTGTCACATGCAACAACTCAATGACTGTCAGGGGCGTTAGACACACCACAAACACTATAACTACAACTAAAAGCATTCTTATGATGCTCCTTCGCATTTTCATGGCGCCACAAATATCAAATCGTGACCGCGATCGAAATCGCTGTACAACGGTGCGTAGTTTTCTCGAAACTCTTGCGAACGTAAAGGAGAGAATTACAAGAGGTATAAAATAAAGCAAAATAAACACTGGCACATGATAACAAAGGAAAACTAGCAAGTAGTCATCTGGGCGCTCCTGGCTACAAACTAGTCTATCCTTCGACATGGTAGTTGAGCTGAAGAAGACTTGTGGCAGGGCCAAAATACACGCTGCAATCCAAGACGCCAGGGCTACAATCCATGATTTGATATTGAGACTTCTGAATCGCATTGGGTGACATATTGCATAGTACCTCTCGATGCTTACAATTGTCAGGCTTATGATAACCACGTTATAAAATGTGTGCAGGAGAAACCTGTGAATCTTGCAAAGGGCATCACCGGTGATCCAGTTATCGTATTTGATGGACAATGCTTCTGCAGGAGTTTGCAACGCGAAAAGTAAGTCCGCTGCCACCATGTTGCAAAGCAGATTGTTGGTCACATTTCGCAGTTCCTTTACTCGATAGAATACAAACAATATGGCTGTGTCGACAACGAAAGCGAGAGCAAGAAGCATCACATAAAGCCCAAACCCAAACGCGTGGAGCCAGTCGGGAAGCTCGTCGACATAAAATATGCCTGTTAAGGAGTTTTCGGCAAGACTTGTTGTGGAAGGAATCGTTGAAGTTACGTTCCCTAGCTCCATTGTGATCAGATCTTCGCAGTAATGTTATGATTACAACTCCAAATATTGCAAAGTGACAGTACAAATATTTGTAATGTGCAAACGACTACCCAAGCTACGGCTAATGGACTTTGAAATCGAAGTCAACCAGTTCTATAAGGTTACATCTGTAGCCACTCTTCGCATCCACCTGCACTTGGGGACGGTGCAATGAATGAAACTCAGCAGGCGAGATGCCTCTCGGTGGCTTTGTTAACTTGGCTCCCCTGTTTACACACGCACTGTTTACAAAAATCCTGCCATTTCGTTAATAAACGAGACAAAGCACCAGTCTTGTTGTTAAAAGTCGCAGCTTAAATTGTTTCAAAGCCGTTTTGTGAATGATCTGTGAACGAAGCTAGCTCATTGACATTCTGACGAAGGCCCTTCGACGTCAGGTGGATATTGAATGACATCTCGTGACTTTTTCTGTGCTTTTCTATTTATGCGTGGGAAAGAAACTTTGAAAAAGGTAATAAATTATTCATTGAAAATGATTCAGCAGGGCAGTTTTGATTGATTGATCAATTGATTTCTCCGCTTCAGCAAGTGTCTTCAGTGGACACTACAGGCATTTTAGCTTAAGCTTGCGTTTATTATCTTGAAGCGCGATATAAATGACTGCATAAGCTGGCAGTTGCCGCTTGTTTGCAGTTTGTTGCAGTAACTTTTAAAACTGTGGCACAACTTAACACTATGTGGTCGCCGAGCGTCATTGAATTGAAAACTCATCATGCGTAAAGACGGCAATTACGAGTTCAGGTGACTCACTCTCACTTGTCACGACTGGCAAATTGAAGGGCCCAATTTAAAAGTTTATCACCTCAAGGACAAGCCGACAACGATCTTTTTTCAACTTGGGACGACCTCAACAAGAAGTTTGTTACATTTATAAGGGTATGGCAGTAAAACATTGAGCAAGGCATAATATTTGTTTTTTTAGTCTAGACAATAAATCAATCGTCTTGATAGCGCAATATAAGCAGTGTTTCTGATGTTCTGATTGGTGTAAGTAAAGCAATTAAGACACACCTAACATGCGTCATTGAAGTGAGTTCAAAGTGTACAGTGTAAACAAATTCGGGAAGCTGTGGGCTCGATAAAATTGCGCAATTTTCCTCTTATTTCTTTCATTACATCTACATTTTTTCACTTAACTGGTGACTTTATAAAATGAATAAAAATGAATCGAATCAGAAATATTCTAAATGAATATGGACAGTTCAGGGAAAGTCGATAAGGCGAACTAAGTAACTAAGTCAGAAATTACTATTACCTAGCGTTAGTGTATGCCATGATACTTTATTTCTTTAAAAAGCTGCAGGTGCTAGAAAACAAAGATTTTGGAAGAAAAAAACTTAGTAATTTTGACTGAATTTTCGACACATTGACAGGATGATTTCTATTCGCTTCAATTTGCTCCAATCTAAATTGACTAACGTCTGAACGGCGAACGACAAACGTCTAACACCAAACTGCCGTAAAAAATGCCTTTAGACGTTTGAGGTTAATTTGGATTATCGACATTGTCATCGTCATCGTCATCGTCATCGTCATCGTCATCGTCATCGTCATCACATACAAATATAAAAAAAAGCTTGATCGAGTTCCAGGGAACGGACGCTTGACCATTTAAATATGATGAATATTTCCCGCAAGAAACCTTAAGAGTCCTCAAACGTTTCGATATCGCGCAGAATTGCTTATTCGCCTTGAAATCATAATCAATTTGCAGAAAATAGAGTACTTTATTCGATTTCAGCATTTGTACGTGGCATAAATTAACCGACGTTTTGACGTTTGCACGTGACGTCTGGTACTGGACACGTGACCCTTAGCGGTTCGCCGTTCGCGGGGAAACTTGAATTAAGAAGTGCAGTTTTACATCCAGTTAAAGAGCAGTGTATTTTCAGAGGATTTTTACATTTGGCTTAACACAATGTTGAACTTTTCATTTTCAGCCTGGCTTAGATCGACGAGATGATGTTATGAGGTAGTTTCCTGTGCGACTCATTAGGCGCGAAATCTGCTACAAAACTTGAAGAACATTTCCGCTCGGAGGAATAGTAATTTCGTCCGTCCCAGTTCGTTTAACGTTGCGACTTTCTAAAACAAGTAGTGACATAAATATGTTGTTCATGGTTATGTTGGCCTCATGGTTATTGCGCTCGTCTCCGGATCGAGCGGTCCGGGTTCGAGCCCTGGCCGGGGACATTGTGTTGTATTCTTGGGCAAGACACTTTACTCTCA